ACCTTTTAAAGAGACGTTACTTTGTCCTCCTGTCTATGAACACAACACAAGGACCTGTCCTACATGCTCAGTAAGACGCCTAACAACAGACTTTATGGTTTGTTAGCTGAGACAAGACGTGTTTATTTAAATAGCACCTTTCAAACCTATAAAATGTTTTACAGAAGACAAACAGAGTTATTACATTTGCCCACATGAAGCAGTGATTTTTCGTATTGAGTGATTTAGGCTACATTTTGTGTGTGTGTGTGTGTGTGTGTGTGTGTGTGTGTACAACAGCGTCAGGATCAGAGGTGTGTGTCAAAGTGTGTTTTGTGTTTGCAGAGCGTCGTCCGCCACGTGGCGCCGCGGCAACATGAGACAAATCGTTTCCATGGCGAGGGCCAACTGAAAAGGTCAGCAAGTTCTCCGCGGGCACGGCAGCCCAGACGACAGGTTTGGCGGGAAGTGTGTGTGTGTGTGTCTGTGTGTGTGTGGGTTTGTGTGTGTGTGTGAGAGAGAGAGAGAGAGTTTGTATGAAAGAAAACAGACACTGTGTGTTTGTATAGATAATGAATGAAAGAGAATCTGTTCTATTGTGTGTCTTTGCAAAACAAGCTGTCTGTGTGCGTGTGTGTGTGTGTGTGAGTGTGTGCGTGTGCGTCACATGTAATGTAATCAGGGAATGATCTCATCAGAAAGGAAATCTGAGCGACTCTCTGCTCCTGTGTGAGATAATGCAACGTTTCAATGTCAAAGGTCATGGATTTATTTAGATTTAGAGGCACTCACTTCCTTTTCTTCAGTAAAAGTATGAATACCATACGGTACAAATATAGAAGTAGAAGTTTGTTTTGGTCAAATAGTCCAGCAGCAAACAATAACCAGATTCAACCCATCCTCAGTCCCAATGCTGAAGCGTCCTTATGAGACGGTTTAGAGCAACTGACGTGATACTGAGACGCTTTGTGATTTCGTGAAAAGGAGATCACCGTCCATGTCCCGCGAAAAACCCAAAAGTGAACGTTGACATTTTCTTACGTCAGTCGTTAATCACGTGAGTTGTGGAAGTTAACATCATCTGAACCTTACTAAGTGCTTTTGTTGCCTGAACCTACACTAAGATGGACGTTTTATTTTGAAAAGACACTATGTAACAAGCATGCATTGACGCGCCGTCACGTCCAAAACTGACGCCAGAGGGGAACGTCATGAATGTGTTGCTCATTCTACGTAAATAAAAACGATTCAATTCAACAATTTTTTATTTTCCTTGCCATTTCTTTTCATTTACAGATATGTAGGGACGATGTATGTTGACGTTGTCCAATGTCAAGACAATCAGGTTGCTCCAACACAGTAGGAAAGCTGTAACAGATGTTAGCTGGATGTGTTGAAAATGTAGGGATACTCAATATATATTTTAAAAAAGGTTGTGGCAATAATCCTCTCTGGGAGTCTGGGAGGCTGTGGCCTTCATCCTGCCGCTGTTTAGCTTCAGATAACAGGCCGGTAGAGCACACAGTGTTTGATCTTCGTATTATCAGCTCACCTTTAATGTGACTCACTTATGCTGAGCTTGTTCCTGCTGCTGCATGCGGTCAGGAGTTCAGGAGTCACAACGGCTCTCAGACTCACTGTTTGTTTGCTGCCGTGTTTTTTTAATGGAGGAAACGCTGCCGTCAGCGTGCGCATCAGACGTTTGTAGCAACAGAAATGTCATAAAATGTCTTCATTACACATGCAGCTCTCTTAAAGCAGCTTGTTCAGGAAGGCAGAACAGATATACCGATGTTGAGGTTTATTGACCGGCTGTCTGGGAAAAGCTGCACACCTGTCGCTACGATTAATAACACATAAAGACACATATCAGTGCTCACATGATGAGCTCAAAACTTTACCAGAACATATATATTTTCCTCATGGCAGCAGCTGCACCACACACTCAGTAGCTTCACATTTTCTAGGTTTGAAATCTCCGAAATGCACGGCAGCACAAGAGTGTTATCTGCTGCTCTGTGTGTGTGCGTGTGTGTGTGTGTGTGTGTGTGTGTGTGTGTGTGTGTGTGTGTGTGTGTGTGTGTGTTGCCAAACTCCAGGTCATTCAAAGAAAATGGTCTGTGGTTAGGAGACAGTTTTATGACATTTATGTCTGTTTAGCTTGTTAAAGTCCAACTGGAATCACAAAAAACATAATTTTCTCAATCAAAAATCAAATAGGAGTGATTTTAAATGTATGATTCACATGTTTTATTATTACTTCTTGAAGAATAAGGACACTGCATCACGGCATCTACAGTAAAAATCTTGACGTTCAAAACTAACTGTAAAGTTGTTTAATGCGCTGCAGTTATTAGCTACCTCGCCTGCAAACTGACTTTCGATATTTGTTTTGGTGGCTCATTCAGCAAGTGGCAAGAATTAAATACAAGAAAGCTAATGTGGGTTGTTGTTGTTGTTGTTCAATGACTAAAATTGTTTTCTGACAGAAAGCGAACAGTGAAAATGTTCTTGGGAGTTCTTCCAAAGGGCTGGTTTCTCGTGATAAAAATAGTCCTCTAACCAGTTCTCATACGGACTGCAAAGAAATAGCACCAATAGAAATATCTGGACATGTGACAGATGAGTAGGGCCGGGTACCGGTATTCGATACCTTTTAGGGTATCAACTGAAATAACCCAGTAACAAGTAGTGCTGAAACTTCTCCAGGCAAAAGATAACCTGCAATCGATCTTTTCCATGCCCAGGTCTGGAAAGAAATGACTATTTGTACGGTTTTGTTATTAGTCAATCACAGCAAACGTTCTTCTCTTTAATGTGACGTGTGATTGGGCCACGACCGCAGCAGCTTCTACCTACACAGCCGGGATGACCTGCTTGCACACGGATCTGAGCACGGACGTGCAGCTAACAGTGCTAACAGCGCAAACAGTGATAACATCGGCATCTGCATCACATTGCGGGTACTGGTTTTGGAACTGGCATCGTAATCTTACCCAGCCGTACAGATGGGTAAATAAATATGTTTTTGGTATTTCAAATTTGGGTGAACTGAGCCTTTAAACATGGACTTCATGCGGATACAGTCTTGCTTCTAGGATTAAACATCACCGTGCAGAGGTTACGTTAATATTTTATCATCAGTAAAAAGATTATTGTTTATTTATAGATTATTTTGCCAGTGATCCATCCGTCCATGAACAACTTTCATGCTTTAAAAGTCAAATGTTTTTGATTTGATCCAGGATTTGAACCTTTCCAGGATCAAGCAGGTCATGCCTTTTAAAATGATCTCAGCATTGAATCATCACAAGCTGCTGCAAATGTCCTGCGTACTCTCTGTGAGGCAGATCTGATGAAGCTCATCTGTGAAATAACACACACACACACACACACACACACACACACACACACACTCACGCACACACACTCGGTCCCTTAAAGTCATTCATCATTCTAAGCGGACAAAAATATCACAGTGACTCCTCCTACCTGTGTTTCTATAAAACCAAACAGCAGCTACTATCGGATGACGACCTGCTGGTGACATCACATATGATGTCGTAGATAAAACACACACACACATTTTTTAAATCTTGAGAAGAAACAATGATTTTATTTATATATAAGTTATACACCACTAGTGTTACTTAGAATACATTTAACAAAAAAAGGTAAACGTTTCATGTTTCAAATCAAAAAAAGACCAACAATGTTAAACTTCTGAGTATCTCTGCTCCTTATGTGTGACACAGTGGGACGCCTCATTAAAATAATTCAAATACTCAACAAATTACAATGAGAGTAAAAGCAGAAACGACATCAGTTCCTTTATCACCAGCATCACAAACAAATCAACACAACCCCCATCATCATCATTTCAGTTCTCCTGTTTGATTAATCATATTAAGTCTAAATCAACACAAGTACATTAGATTACATTTCATGGTAAACTTCCCTTTAAGATATTGAATGCTGCATGTGCCTACCACCAATCATAACTGTAAGCATCTTGGTAAAATCTTAACAGGGGAGTTACTGCTATTGCCAAAGTATGGAAACAGCTTCTCAGTGAAGTTGACTTTGAATAAGTATACCTGTGTGTTAGTGTTGGCATCAGTGAAGAACAGATGTCCTTTGTTCCAGTCCAACAAAACTCTGATCCTCTGGAGCTTCGTCATCACTGAAAGAACGACCGGTTTGCCTGATGGGAAGTAGACTTTATAACTCCCTTTAGAGAATCCAATTCTCCACATTTCAGACCATATACTCCCTTTCCTCTTGACGGACTCTTTTGCCACACCCAGAAACCAGGCTGTACTGTCTCCAACCTCAACGACCCAGATGTGAATCCCTGAGTTAAAACCCTCAGAGCCCAGAACAGGGTTAAGGGAATCAAACCTCTCTGGATTATCAGGACGCTTCTGTGTCTGTCCTCCTCTCACACTGGTCAGATCTTCAGACAGGATGAGTTCTGGATGAGCAGTGTTTGGGTCCAGAATCACAGGAGTGTAGGAGACCATGTCCTTCATCTTGTTCCAGATGTTGAAGGTCAGGTTGCCCAGGTGTTTGGCCTCGTCTATCAGAGCTCCTGAGAGCAGCTGTGGATCCTCCAGCAGGGGGCGCTGCTGGACTCTTTCCACTGCAGCCTTGTAGTTGTTCAGGAATGAGACGTCTTCAGCTCTCAGCTCGTCCTCTGTGGCTCTGACTGTGTCTGAAAGAGCTGCCATCTCTCTGCTCAGAGCCTCCATCTTCTCCTTCATCATCTGACTCTTCTGCTCCTCTTCCTCCCTCAGTGCAGCCATCCTGGCCTCCTCTTCCTCCTCTAGAAACTGGTGAAGCTTCTTAAACTGCTCCTTAATCTGCCTCTCTGTGCGTCAGGCCTGGACCTTCATGTGTTCTGCTGTTTGATCACAGTTTCCTTTAACTTGTTCAAAAAGCTTCAGTTTCTCTTTTAAGAGCTTCAGGGATTTCTGGATCTCCTCCTTGTGATCCTGTACAACTTCATTGATGGGTTTGAATGTGTGGTTGTTGTGTTTTTCTGAATCTCTGCAGACGAGACACACCGGCTGCTGATGGTCCAGACAGAAGAGTCTGAGTTTCTCAGAGTGCAGACTGCAGAGAGGCTCTGAAGCTCTCTGATCTCTCTCCCGTATGAAGGACTCACACAGGTTCTTTAACACCAAACTAACAGGTGGATCAGTTCTTGATGATCTTCTGTTACAAACTGGACACTCACGTGTTTGTTTCTCTGTCCAACAGTTCTTCAGACAGTCTCTGCAGAAGCTGTGGCTACACGACAGGACAACAGGATCCTTGAAGATGTCCTGGCACACAGGACAGGAGAGATCATGCTCTAGCACAGAAGTAATTGTGTTTCTGTAAACAAGCAGCCAGAGAAAATACACTGGGAGACAATCTGCTGTAGTTTCTCTCCCTCTCTCTTAAAGTTTAATCTTCTAATCGTTTTTCCTCAAACTTGCATTCAACCAGCATCAACTCGACATCTTAATATTCCAGTATTTCAGTCTTGTAGCTGTGCTCGTTCAGTAGAAGTGGTTATAACCCTAACGGAAACTAAATAACGGAAATACCGAAAATAAGCTTTATTTGCATTACCTAAGAGGGCGGGCTCTAGCCCTAATCAACTCACGTCTGATTGGCTGGCTGAGGACTTCCTGTCTGCACTCAAGGACAACTTCCGGTTATGGCCGCTCCGCTTCATAAGGTGATAAAGTCTCTTCGTTTTTTTCGCCTCTAAATGCTAATTAGTCAGAGACGCCAACTCACAAGGAAGACTATATTTTTGTAGCCGAGGGTTATGTTGGGCTTATACTTTATAATAGTAATACAATAATAAACATGGGGCTCCGTAGTCTGCACCAAGATGGCAGCAACTTTATTCTCCTTCCGTTTTATCCTTCACAATAAGAGCCCCAGACACATAAACTGGAACACTGCTTCCTAGAGAGCTCTTAACGTAACTCAACACAATGGTTTACATTTTTATTATATAAATAGTAATATATAATATTAAATTAAAGTCAATGCGCAGTCCTCCTATAGGTCCTCCTATCTCTTCCCAGGACATTCCTTCAGCAACAAAACACTTTATTACCAAGTATGTTACACATACAAGTCATTTGGCTTGATGTTTGGTGCGTGACAATAAACACAGTGCAATATATGATGGGATGGTTGTGAGTCACCAGTATGAATGAAGAGAACCCCCAAAGATTAGGTACGTTTTTTTTAAGTGAAAACTTTGTTTCTTCTTCTTCTTCTTTGCTCTCCTATTAACTATCTAACGACCCCTCACATTTGTCTCGTGACCCCTTAGAGGGGCCCGACCCCGAGACAGGAAGCCTCTGCCTGCCCTCCATTTGAACTGTACAGTTTATTAAAAATGTAAAACCAGCTCCGACCCCGAGCAGCTACAACAGTAAAATGCTGCTTACACATTAATACATCACTATTAAACATCTGAATAATGTCATATCACTATCCTGCTGTTGAGTACTTTTACGTTTGATAATTTAAGTGTATTTAGCTGATAATACTTCTGTACTCTTGCGTATTTTAAATGTATTTATGTTATTTTAAATGTTGTACTTGTAATTGGAGTATTTTGACATTGTTATATTGGTACTTAAGCAAAGAATCTGCAGAGTCAGACAGTCAGACCACATGACGCACTACACTTTGTTAATGTGAAGCTCTCCAGTCCACATTTAGAGAAGCCCCCCAAAGAATGTACTTAGAGTGGTCTGCTGCGCCCGCTGATGGTGCAGAGTGGAAGTGCAGCTGGTGCAACACGAGTGCGACACAGCTGACACACACACACACAGATTTGTGCAGAGTCACTGTGATGTGGCCTTTGAATCACTGAACAGCTGCCACACTGAGAGCTTATCTCCTTCAGTATCTGGGTGTGTGTGTGTGTGTGTCTGTGTGTAACGATGACTAAGTGCCTTAGATGTGACTCACCTGTCAGTGAATCTGACTCTACCGACCTGGAGGAAACAATCTGATCTCAACACAATAATAACGGATTTACGAGAGAGAGAGAGAGAGAGAGAGAGAGAGAGATTCAAATCCCTTTCCTTCCACCTCTTGCCCATGGGCATCAGGTGAGGAAAAGAAAAGAGAGACGAGGCTGAATAAAAGGAGGAGATAGAAAGAGATTAGTACTCTTTTAGTCTCCTTCCGTCTCTCCTCTCCTCTCTCGCCTGCTGCTGTTGACATTAGATATGTTCAACTTTGACCTAGATCTTGGAGAGACTGTTTTTTACTCAGTCTACTTTGTGTATAATAATCATAATACATCCTTGCTGTTCTTATTATTAGTAGTATAAAAGTCCATTTCCACCAAAATGATACAGGTAAACGTAAGAGATATACACATGAATCAAGATTATGAGATAAAACTCAAAATGAAGCATCCATATCTCATTTTATTTATTTTGATCATGCCCCCCCCCCCCCCCCCCCCTGATCGTGAGGGTCAAACATGGAGGATGAAGTATAAGTTAATGTGGTACTTTTCTTTTGTTGAGTGTAAGTTGATTGTTTGATACCCACTCCAGAAGAAGGTGGCGGTAAATAAGCTTGATGCCAACTGTCAGAAAAGCAGAAGAAGAAAAAGAACGGGGAGGAGGAGAAGGAGAAGGAGAAGAAGAAGAAGAAGAAGTTAACTTCACGGTCCAAACTTAGTTATTTGTGTTAACGTTAAATACTAACGTCTGTATAAACGTTTATAATCGTTCAATAGTTACTCACGTCCAGTTTATTTTGGACTTTTAATTTAAACTCTCAGCCGCCATTAGTCCGCTGGAAGCTACCATCGATAGCAGCTCTGTGTGCTAGCATATTATATACAGTGTATGTATGTGAAATCTGCCTTCAAGGGTCCGAAGAAACTCACATCCAGAGGTTGAAGGATGTGAGACGTATGTGGTGGCAGGCACAAGAGAATGACCCCCTCCCTCTGTTTATATATATATATATATATAAACAGAGGGAGGGGGTCTCTGGTGTTACAGGAGATCTTGGTTCTTGGTTTCTAAGAAGGAGTTTTCAAGGGTCCTAAGAGACTCCTTCCAGAGGGTGAAGGATCGGAGACTGGTGGTGGCTGGGTTCAGGAGGTGTGGCCTCTACCCTCTGGACCCAATGGCCATCAACTGGTCACGGGTCATGCCGTCCGGGCCGCGGCGTGGGGCCTCCGCCAACTCCATCGGCATCTTCCTGGGCTGCGCCTGATGTTGCCCTCCCCTCCCAGCATCCCCTATCTCCAGCCCCTATCCCCAATCCCCAGAACCAACCCCCACCTGCCCCTCCTCCTCCCAATCCCTACATCACCCATCCCCTGGTAACATCAGGCCGGATAACAGTAGACCTGGCCCACCTCCTGGCCGAAATAAACTACAACCGCAACACCGGCAAGATCAGGAGGAACATCACCAAGGCCAGGTTACTGACAGCTCAGGAGATGTCCGACGTCATCGTGGAGGCGGAGGATAGTGCTGCAAGGCGGGAGGCCCAAGCGGAGACACCGGCCCGGCAGCCACTTCCTCTACCCTGTCTGGCGGCTTTCGCCCCAGCCGCAGAAGACCAGTGTCCCTCGGGTCTACTACAGCCACCAGCTCCGGACTTTCCATCGCCGGTCCCTCATCCCGCTCTGCCCCCTCTTGTGCCTCCCACGGTCCCCCGCTGCCTGCCAGCAGGACCACAACATCACCACCAAGCCTGCCTGCTGAGGAACACCGCCACCTTCCCCCGTCTCCTGGTCAGCGCATACCTATTTAGCATTTGAATTCACGTATAAATCAGAATTTATTAACTATTGTTACGCATAAACATTATTATGAGTGTGTATTTTAGTGTTGTAATAATAAAATATGATTATTATTTCAGAGCCTTCAACATCGGCTGCGGGAAGTGGCCTCTATGGGTCCCAAACTCCTTCCTCTCCCTCCCACTGTAAATGCTTTAAATAATCTGAAAATATATATATATATATTATAACATGATGGTGATATTAGCCATGATGAAGAGTCACCAAAGCATGGTTATGCTTTTTCTGTTATTTATACAGCCTCCCAACCTGCAGAGACCCGACCATGATCATCCAGCTCCTCGTCTGCTGGACCCACGACATCCACCGGTAGTGTACTTAACGTAAACTTTCATCGTATGCCAACCCATGGGACGAGGAGCTGGATAATGAAGAGGATTATTTTAAATGGCATTTGTGTCCGGATTTTAATATAATTTTTGATTTTGTTTGGTTTATTTTTAAATAAATGTTTGCATAGAACATTTCAATCATTTGCACAAGTTATTTTTCTTTCACTTTAACAATATAGCTTTTTAATCATGAATACTTGTGTTTTTAGTTGTAATAGAACTCTTACTCTGCACTGTGTGTTATGATAGTATTTATATACAATATGTGTACATAATTGTTAAATTCCATGCATCAGCTGGTGTTTTGCCAGTGATTGACATGAGAAGAGTTTAACAAAACATCCAGCAGGTGGTGGTATACACTCAAACGGAAATTAAGGAGCTTTTATTGCACAATTTGGAGTTGTTGAAGCGTGATATCTTATTGTGAAGGACAGAACCACGTTCCCGGATGTGTTGACAGCATTGATTGTAACTTTGGCGACCCTGTAACAAGCGAATATCCCCGAAAAACCAGGATGGAAGTTTAGACGGATTAGGCCAATCGCGTCGCACGGCTAATTCACCGGCGTTAGCATCGTTTTAACGACTCTGGTAAAGGAAAAGCGAACTTTAATAATTACAACGATATTTAGTTCGAAAGGTACGAGGTTAAACTTTAGTTTAACACTATTAAATCAACTGAAAACATTGCACGATCATTTTTATCAATATTTTAAGTGTATTTTATTGGAACGTTAGCTAAGGACTGTCCGGTTCGGGGTACAACTCCGTTAACTTTTAGCTCACCTGTTAGCTCACCTGTTAGCGGTTTTTCCTGACAACATGTCGGGCTTTAAACTTCCCTCCACTCCTCTGGAGCTTCTGCGTTTGTGCTGCTGTCTGCTGACGTTGTCTGGAATAATACTTGGACATGAACACGGTGAGAAAGTTGTATAAAACATATCAAGTGACACCCTCAATAGTGAAGCTAACGTTAGCTAACTAGCTAGCTTCCTGTTTAGCTAGCGACCGTCAGTTTCTCTGCTTCATTTGATGCTCATCAGACTGTTTTAAAGTCAATATAATAAAGATAACTGAATGTCTTTAACTCTCTCTTTAAGACTTATTATTCTGACTTTGTGAAATAGTTAAATCAGACAAATGTATAAAATAAACAATAGTATTGGCAGCAAAGGGCTAAATAAAGTTCAATTACACAGCTGCTCCCCTTATTAATAACTGTATTAATAAGAAACTCAAAACACACTGACTGACTTATTAAATCATTTTGACTCCTCTGTTGAGAAGGTTTATAATTGTATATTTGTGTTAATACATCTGCATTGTGTTCTATTGATGTGTATATCACTACAGTCTGTACATGTATGAAGGCCTCTGTCCCAGGGCCCTCGCCTCAGAACAGGAAGTACTGCAAAATATACTTTACCAGGGAACCGATAACTCCGGCCCTTATCGATACTCCGGGTTTTTCCTACTCTTATCAATTCACGTTTAGAACCGGGTATCAATGTTGGACAACTGTTGACCCTTCACACCCTCTCATCACAGCTGCTTTCACTCGTTGTTGTGATGTTTTTCTTGTGTTTAAGTGCTGTTCAGACACAAATGTGCAGTTAATTTCAGCCTTTTAAAGATGGTTCTGGACTTTCTCGATTTAAACGTGATGATTAAAATGTGCTTTGTCTTTCAGGGACGGGTGTGAAAGTGTTGGTCAAAGAAGGGAGTGATGCCATTCTGCCGTGTTCCCTCGACACCAAGCAGGACATCACAGCAGCTTTCTTCAACTGGCAGAAAGCTGCTGAGAAAGATGAACGTCAGAAGGACGTTTTCTTTTACGATGCAGATGTTCGTTACAACAACGGCAAAGCTGGTCAGAGTGAGCAGTTCAGAGGACGAGTCTCACATTTCCAAGATCAACTGAAACACGGCAACGCCTCCGTAATCATCACAAATACCAAGAAGACCGACGGCGGAAACTACACCTGTGCCTTTCCACTTCTTCAGCCACCTCGCACTTTCTCCATTCAGCTTGTTGTTGGTGAGTACTTTAATCGAACCGCTAATCTTAAATGTACTTTTGGTTTCTCTAGCTGTCGTTCAAGGTTTGAGCCCCACAAATTGACGACTCCTCTGGTTGTATAGAAGTCTATGAGGAAATCTATGAGTGTCAGGTTTGATGAGTTATATCATTTCAATTTAACCTGAAACATGGAGCTGTGATCAGCTGTGATCAGCTCCTCCGTCATCAGACACAGACGTCGCTTCACGTGAAGCTTCTGAGGACGTCTCATGTCTCTTAAAACATATTTCCTCTCTCCTCGCATGGTTTCCTCCATGCATCCCTGGTGGGAGGGACTAAGACGCAAGGAAAGGACACAAGTGAGGGAAACGGGGATGCAATTAAGAGACTTGGGATGTGCCCCATGTCACTCCTCCTCAGTCCAGATATGGTCACTTCCTGTAAAAAAACAAGATGGTGACGGCCAAATTGGACTTGCAATAAATCCAGTAGTTTGAAGATGTTTTCACACATGAATATAAAATAGATATTAGAGATGAATTATGAGCTGTTTAGCTTCCTAACACGAGCTCTAAGCACACTATAATACATCAGTAAAACTAATAGTGAAAAGATATTTTTTTTATTTTGTGTTTTTATGCAAATCACCACCATAGAAGACATAAAGTAAAAAGATAAATATTAAGAATATTTGATGGTTTACTGACTTCAGAGCGGTTGAATAGTCTGGACTCTTGTAGACCAGCTGCTATAACAAAGCAAAGCTAAGAAAACGATGCGCATCGGCCAATATGGATCATCAACCATCACCAATGTTCCTATTTGTCTTTCAGAGCTCCTCTTTAAGGACCGGTCAGGAGAAAGCTCAGGTGAGCGATGATGTCACTGATCATCATGTGTGAAGTGTGTGCTGTAGACCTCCGTCTCATTCAGAACCTCCATCTTCTCTATTGTTTCATTGGTCACATTTGAAGCAACTATTCTTCCAAAAGTCTGCTCATTAATCACCACTGACACCATTTATGAATCATAATAACAGAGGAGCCTGCACAGAATACCCAGAACCCCCTGGAGAGTGATATTAATACATCGTTTGTGTTTATTCACGTCGCGGTGGAGATCCACCGTGTTGGGATCTGTCACGAGGATTCATACAATTATTTATATCTATAAGATCAGGGACCAATAACCAAACTATGAATTAAGTCTCATAATTAGTATTCACTCACAATGTCAATAGTCAAAGTACTGTTCCACATTCAGAGTGAACAGTGAAGGTTTGAATTTGAGCACAGGCCACATATCAGCTATCATCACAATACACATGCACAGAGTAATCACAGACAGCTGCGCTCTGAAGTATAACAGAGTTTATTAAATGTCAAACAATATCTAAAACTAACAACTGCTAACCCATTACCATTATCTAAACTCAACAAACAATCTTTAGAGAGAGAGAGAAACTGTCTAGAAACTACCCAGACAGACAATGCGGATGTAATCTTGTACGTCGCCACTCGAGACCAGAATGGAGACCGCGTCTACATACCACGTGTGTCTAAGATGGGGAGCAAAACCTGTTGGTTCGTGAAATAACTTTACTTTATCAAACCCGACTGGAAAACTCAGATTCGTCCAGTTCTGGTCTTTTTAACTGATAAAGTCACAATAACCAACTTCACTCGCTGTGACTGATGTAACACAACACTATTACAGCAGCATGGAACACAACAGTGGTTTCTTCACAGCGCTAACGGAACTCGGCGGTCCATGAACACACACAATAACACGTTAACAATCCAGTAAACTTAGAACAGAACGAACAAGGTAATAAACACATGATGGCCTATCTCTGTCGATGTGGTTCTTCGAGGGTCCGGAGCTTCAAGCTGTGCGGCGATAAAGACTTCTCGTTTCTCTGTTCTTCACTCACTTAAACACAATTTCTACAGTTGTCCTTAATAATCTGTAGTTCATACTTTGTTCACAGTTGCAACTCCGAAGCCATTCGTCACAACACTTGATGCCGCAGAGGACTGGGCGCTGTTGGAGTGTGAGGTTCGAGGTGCTTCTCCAAGACCTGACGTAGAATGGCAGGACGGTGATGGAAACAAACTTCCTGCTGAGGAACCACAGGCCTCAGAGAGAGGAGGCAGCTACGACATCACTCTGAACATCACCGTGACCATGACGGACCGCTATCGCTGTGTAGTCAAGCAGGAAGACATCAAGCACAGGGTTACCTCTGAGGTCTTTGTGCACATCAGTGGTGAGACTTCATTGTTGTTCACGTCTTATTAGTTTCAAAGGAGTTTAACTGCTGCTTTGTGTCGTCTGTGTGCTGAACATGAGATGCAGTTACATTTTCTTTTTGTGACGTGTTCCAGAGAAAGTGTGTGAAGACTCATCGACCAAAGTGGCCATCGGATGGTTGGCTTTAGGAGTTGCTTTAGGAGGTCTCATTGTTCTTGCAGTTCAAGCTCTGCTTGTATTTGTGAAGTGGATCACAACACGCCGCAAGAACAGTAAGTTTATATAAAATATTCTATCGGTGTGTCCATAATGTGCCGACATCAACACAACAGATGCTCTGATAGTGTGTCGGCTCAATGCTTCTGGTGGTGCTTGTAATGTTTCAGGTCTCAATATAGCAGCTAAAATATTGGCAACAACTAACAAACTACTTAATCATGTTTTATAGTTGGAGAACATAAGTTTGTCTTAGTTTTAAGAGTCAAATAGCTTCATTTGATGGAACAGCAGGTTTTAATCGGATGTTTATCATAATTCTGTAGATGCTGAGATCGTCGTATATGTTTGAACATGATTCATTTAGCTTTTATCTAAAGAGACTTACAATAAGTGAATTCATCCACAACACACAGTACAACCTAAACATTGCAGAATGCAGGTACATCAGACAGAGAGGGTTCAGTATGAACAGATGTAGAGTTTCTGCTGTTCTACGATTAAAGGACTAGTTAACCAGCACAGCAGAGACGTTTGACACATAAATACTAACGTATAAAAGTACGTTCCCCGAGAAGTGAACTGCACACGTTTTCACCGGTTTAAGATGAAATGACTTCATGAGAAACTGTTCAATCCACTAGTACGTGTTTGAAAGCAGACTTTTAAAAGGTACAAATAATTTATATATTTTTGTGTGGATCACCAAAATAATTTAAGTTAACTTCATGTAACGTATACAATCATTTCTGTGCTGCAGGTCGTCACCGGCTGGTTCACCTGGAACAAGCTCTGCTTAACAGGGAAACCTCTTTGAGTAACAAGGAAATCAGTCCATGTAATGTGCCTCCAGGTCCGGCTCCGGAGCCAGCAGAGGCTCTATAGCGACTGTGGCTCAGTGGAGAGCGGGTCGTCCTTCAATCAGATCATCAGCGGTACAATCCCAGGTTCACCTGGTCAGGGGGTACATCCCACATGTGTCCTTGGGCAAGAAGCCCGTAGCCTACGGTTAGTGAATGTTGGGCCTTCTGTTAGTCCCGATGGGTAACCATGCCAATGCTTCTTGTTATTGAGAACCAGAATTGGTTAATAGTATTGCGAAAAATTGAAATTATTTAAAATATAACATTTATATATATATATATATTTTTTTTTTTTTTAACTTATTTTGTAAATGAAATGTAAGAATTATCACATTGGCTGTTCATATTCATGTCTATTTGTTAACTTTTTTTTTTTTACTTTTTTACATTGTGTACTGTGACTTTGTCATGACTTCCTTTTAGCATTCTTTACTATGACTTTTTTTTTTTTTACACACTGAACTTTATTACACTGTTTTCAAGCTCCACCTTTCATGAACCCATCCCGACTGCCTTTCGCTTCGTGGGCTCAATCATTGCCAAAGACCTCACAAGCACGGGATGTACCTGGAACTTTATGCACATTCCATGGACACAACCTTGAAATACCTGCGCAGCTGTTACGGCCTTCCTTTAGAAAAGATATATTGTAAATAACTTTCATATTTTTTTCAGTATTGTTGTCAATCGAGTTTATTTTATTCATGTTTCTACACTGTGGGTTCTCACTTGTTTGTCTTTTTTTCACTACTGCATTAATTGTCCTTGTATATAAAAAGTTTATTGTAAAAACATGGATTATACTGTTACCAACATTGTAATTAAAGTCATAGTATGCCAAACAATTTAATAAATCAAAATTGTCACCATACTATGACTTTAATTGTGCTTCATGTTGCTCAGCAGGAAATGTTCATTTGCTTAAAATTCGATATTAAAGTTTCAACATAAAATTGTCCTCTAAAGCTCAAAGAAGGAAAAGTTCATCCCAGAAATCACTAAAAGTTAATTATGTGGTGAGAGTAAATACAGGACACAAAAAAAACAGAACCACCAGAATCAATGAATCATTGTTATTATTGATCCCACAGCGAACGTCAAAAGATGAAGACATTTGTACATTCTGTTGGTTCATGTCGTCCAAACATCCGTTTTGTCCTTCAAACAGGAAGTTCACTGCATTTCCTCCGTTCGAAGTTTTTCTACAAAAATATGACGAGTGACGACAATCGTGTCATATCTGATCAATAAATCAACAAAAGTACAATCAGGATATGTATACATCTTTTATATAGATTTAGATCTCTCCCAGGAATAGAAGCACTAACACACACACACAGGGGTCCAATATCAGAAGGCATATTTTCTGTGTCAACAATATTAACACTTGAATCAGCTGCAGGAAATCTCTAAATACACAGAAAAGCTTCTCTGAGAACGGACCAGGAGAGTTGACCAGAGACCGGACTGCATTTCCCAGAATGCAGCTGGCAACTCATCCAGAACCAGCAGGGCTGTAACCAGGCCCTGAGCTTAGCTTCAGTAGAGACCGAACACATGTTCAATGAGTATTTAAGAAAAACACTAAATTATATTTAGTGATTTAACTGAAAACACATTTTTCTTTGAATGTCTTCTTTACACATTCAGGGATTTTCAAACTTAAGTTTAAATAAATTGTAGCTAAATTTAACAAAAAGTACTTCTTTTAGCTTTTCAAATATAAAATATATTTTGATTTTGGACGGTTCGGTCAAAACGAGACGTACATCTTGGGCTCTGGGATGTTTTTTTTTACTATTCTCTGATATTTTATAGAAGAAAATAGTTCATATATAATAAAAAGAATGATTAGTTGCAGCTGTGGTGAGCTCCTGTCGTTGAGGTCGACACTCGGCGGCAACTTCCGAGAGGCAACACGTCTTTTACCGGATCTCAAACGTCCTTAGTCAGCGTGAAACGTTTGGGAGACGCTGATTATTTATAATCAGGATGATTTAAGAAACATTCAAATTAAGATTTCCTTCTTTAAGTGGACTTATAAGAACCTTTAAAGCTGCGTTGATTGAATTAACGCGTGTTGTCAGCAATGAGCAACAGAACTAATCAATCACTGAAGATGTCCGACTTCACGGCACTAAATATGTAAATGTGTGACGTCAGCGAGGAAAAGGAGGAGAGGAGCTAAAACATCAAAGAAGAGATTTATGAGACAAACCTAAATAGTTGACCAACTTGGAACAGGACCCAAAATAGAACCAGCTACTGGAGCCTGAACCAAACCCTCCCGTAGATAAATAGTTTAATTTAAAGTCAAATATAAACTCACCGTCCTGGACTCTGATTGGCTGTAAGCCGTTTGGTTTTTCTCCAGTTCAAATGCTGACTAAGCAGATTTTCAGTGATTCTTCAGCTGAATGTAAACACTCGAACAACGTCAATTTCTAGCAGTGTCTTTATTAAACATGGATGTTTGTCTCTGTAGAAGCAGAAAGACATCGCAGATCTTTTAAAGTAAATCAGAGACGACAGAATCAAAGCTCCTCCAGCAGATGTTGGGCCACATGTGCAGTTCAAACTGCTACAATAAATAATCACAGCTGAAACACTTTCACAACCTTCTAAAATATGAATCAATAGTGAAAATGATCGATAGTTGAAGCCTTAAAATCAAATTCAAGAGACACGTCGGCTCCCTGAAATTAATTTAAACATTCTGTACCAACGGCTCTGGTTATTTATTGTCATCTTAACGTGTTCGTACCGATGCATCAGTGGCTCTTGTACAGTTTGTCCAATAACTCTCGATCACAATTCTAAGATTAAAGTTTCTTTATTAAAATAAATGTTTGTGCTTTAAAGCAAATATCAATATCTATAGTTCTGTGGTATCAGAGAGTTCCTCTATGTCTTCCAACATGTCGTCGTGTCCGATGTTACCGATAATAACCGTCACACATCTGGACGTCACCAGCTGCTTCTCATAGCCCGCTATGCTCTCAGTAATCATGTCTTAAACAACAAAGTTGCCTCTAAAAGTGACTGCTGCCACCCGAAGGTGAAGATGTGACTCGTCTTCAGTTCAAACGTCCGTACGGGGCACAGGAAGTGAGCAACCTCTCAGGTGCTTTCACCGCTGTTTCTGTTCCAACATATTTACAAACTACAGACAGTTTTACTCCAGAGATGACCAAACCAACGATGACCCCACCCACACACACACACACACACACACACCATGGTTCAACCACGTGACACAGCGGAGCTACAGGACTAATGACTAAACGCCACCCTCCTGGGAGTCGAGGCAAAAAAGCAAAATCAAACACACCCGGGACCGAAAAAGAGGACGCGAGACACTAACAGCTTCCTGTCCGGCTCGTTAAGAAGCCTCCAAACGATCGACAGCTCTATCGGTAAGACTGCGTCACACAAACAAACGTAATGAAAATATGAACCAAAAGAAAAAGGCAAAAGGAAAATGAAATGACGACAAAGTCTCAAAAAAATGATTAAAAACAAACTAAACGGCCTAAAAAGGAAGCAGATCTTTAGAAAATAAAATAAGACACGTGGAGTTCCAGCGATGATTGAGCTCCACAGTTCGTGTTTAACAGGAAGTCTGTGCTGACGACCACAGCGGCCTCATTTGTGATTGGCTGGAGCCGGCAGGAGAGGGGCGGAGCGATCGTTGGTGAGGGTCCTTTTGAGCCTCACCGCTCTGATCTGGTTCAGCATGTCCCCCCCACCTTCCTGGGGCGGCGGCTCCGGGTACTGGTCCTGGTCCTGGTCAGAGGGCGGAGGAGCCTGGGGCTGGTAGTGAGCGCTGTGGCCCAGACCGGAGGGCTCTGCCTGGGGCGCGGAGGCCTGGAGCTGGGCCTGCTGCTGCTGCTGCTGCTGCTGCTGGTACAGCCTCTGTTTCTGCTGCTGGTTCAGCTGCTCTTGTTGGTGTTGCAGCTGAAGCAGCGACTGTTGATGTTGCAACTGTTGCTGCAGATGCAGTTGCTGCTGCTGCTGGTATTGCTGCTGAATCTGGAGTTGCTGGTTGTGCTGCTGCAGCTGATTGCGTTGCTGATGATGATTAAGATGTTGGTTGATGTGCTGCTGTTGCTGTAGTTGCTGCTGTTGTTGTTGGTGGTACTGTCTCTGCTGTTGCTGCTTGGCGTTGCCGCCCTCTGGCGGCAGAGTGGGCACGGTGGGCACAGGCACCGGGATGGGCATCTGACCCGGGACCAGCTGGTAGTACGGTGAAGAGGAGGGAGGCAGAGCGCTGAGGCTCTGCGTGGAGGTGCACAGTTTACTGTGACCTAAACCTCCGACTCCTACGGCGGCCGGCACCGCGAACACGTTCTCGTCGCTGCCGCCGTTTCCCGCGAGCGCTTTGAGGGGAACCTGCGGCGTGCAGATGGGGATGGGAACCCCCCCGCTGATCGTGCCCCTGCGGTACGCCGGCTTGGACGACGGCTTACGCCGGATGGTCGCCGTGTGCGACGGCGGCTGGTAGGCCGACCTGCCGGAGAACTCGGGCTCGGCCAGCAGGCTGACGGTGGAGGAGGGCCGCTTGGACTGGGCGAACTTCCTGTACTGGAAGCTGAGGTCGGAGTTCCTCGGGATGGTGGAGGACTTGTCGAAGTCCGACTGGCCGCCGCCGTGAGAGACGTGGTGCAGGGAGAAGGAGTCGGCGTCTCCGTGGAGGGAGATGGACTCGTAGTCGACTGGAGAGAGACGACAGGAAAATATTAAGACTTCTATTTCTGATCCTGATGATGTTTGATAAGTGATTTCAGAAGCAGCAGACACACACACACACACACACACCCACACGCACACACACACACACACACACACACACACACACACTTAAATAAAACAGACGTCTCTTTATTGGAATGACGTAAAACCTTATGAATTCATGAAAAGGTCAAACACACACACGATGAGGAAGATGAAATAGACAATGTTTTTGGTTTTCAGTTTATTTTGATTTCAAAGTCTCTTTTTCAATATTTAACATTCATTTATTATTATTATCTATTTATTATTTTAACATAAGAGAAGTGCGTTAGCTGTCAACAGTAACAAAAGGATGATTTAAATAAAGGAAGTTAAGTTTAGACAGACACTCAGACAGACTCTCAAACAGACAGCTGGTCAGAGACCTACCATAGAGGGGAGGCTCTCTCCTTACAGCTGGAAGAGAAGGAAGGAAGTTTAGAAAAACACAAAACTACTGAGAGAACACAACGGAGAACCGGAGAGGAGAACCCAGAGACACTGAAGAACACAGAACGAGTGACGGAGATGACCGACAGGTCAACAGAGTCAGAGTTATCATCCAAACAAAAACAGCAGAAACAAGAGGAGAGCCCAGAGGTTCAGCCATACAGATGATTTACTCCAAAATAAACATTCATATCTCATTTCTGTGTTTGTTGGTGAATCACACAGGGCTCCACATTAACGCTCGCCCTGCTGTTAGCGGTTAGCTGTAAGCGGTTAGCAGCACAACGCTGCTTGGCTAAATAACGGAGCTAACAGCATAGCGACATTTGGAACAACTAGCTCAATGGGTCACATGTTAGAGTGTTATTAGTTCCCATCAGGCTGCTCAGAGTCTCTCTGGAGCTCAGTCATGCTAATGACGGAGCTAACAGCTAACGTTAACGGAGGCTCCATTGAGTTACATTGTGGTGCGTTCAGGCTCCAAACTAATGAAAATAAGTATTACAACGTTATCATGATGTGTTCAGATGTCTGTCAGTGTGTATGTGTGTGTGTGTGTGTGTGTGTTGTGCTCACTGTGTGTGTGTATGGTGTCCTCAGAGCAGGACGGGGTGGTGGTCTGGGTGCTGTATCCACTGGAACAGTGCAGAGAGTCCCTGCTGCTCCTCGGGGCGTCCGAATTCAACGCACCCAACGTCAACGCCAGCTGATCCCGGGCCGAGCAAGACTGGGGTGGGGGGGGGAGAGAGACAGACAGACAGAGGAGGTGAGACTATAACGATTATTACAGTAAAGTTTAATTTATAAATTTATAAATAACATGACACGTTTTTACAGAATAAAACAGAGAGGAGAGAAGATGAGAGGAAACAAGGAGAAAGGATGTTTCCTCCTCTGGTCTTGTTTTCTCATCAGTTATTTCAACTCCGTCTTCAGTTATTTCGTAAAACTTAAAATAATTCTCTCCGTGTGTGTGTGTGTGTGTGTGTGTGTGTGTTACCTTCCCAGACGCAGACATGGCTCGAGCTCTCTCTCCGTGGTGGGGGGGGCCCAACAGGCCGTTCTCTGCCCCCCCGCGCCCCCCAGCAGCCAGCTGAGTGCAGGAGCCAACGACTTCCTGTCAAAAAGGAACCAATCAGAGTCACTCGAGCGTAAACGTCAACATAAAGTACAGATTACAATAAATAAGACGTCTTTATTACACATTATTAAATCATATTATTATTAAAACCACTCAGTTGACCAAATTATTTATGGTAATAATAATAATTTAATAATAATTTAATAATAATGAAATGATTGTGTACTGATTATTATATCATTCCAATAAAGCCACATTGAATTGAGTCACTGGTTGAGTTCATCGCTTCATCAAAACTCTGTAATGACGAGATCACAGGACACGACGACACCGACAGTTTTCTATCATTCTAAACTCAATATCTGTGGATTTTAAACTAAATGAGCAAATTAAAGAAATGTTTATGGGCTTCTTTGGACATTTTATAGATTAATCGAGGAAGTAGTTTGCTATTTAAAATAACATAAATAAAGACGCGTTTGAGGTCATTTAGGCCTCGTTTACACTCGTTGTTTTTAGTGTCTTGTACCCGGATGAGATTTAACACTTAAATCTTATCTTATATGTTAATGATGGTCAGTCCTCCTCCGGTCCACAAGGGGGCGGTGATTCATCTGAAACTGTTGGTGAACACCCAAAATCTAACTCGTGTTGCTCCCTTATGACTGCAGATCATTCAGTGGTTGAACTGATCAGGGATCAGATAAAGACAGATAGACAGACGAGTGTAAACGGGCTCTTTAGAAACCGTTGCATCATTTGTCCACAAGTTTATTTTCACACTAATGTTTTAGGGTTCTCATCAAACATGTTTGATAATGTTGTGCGTGTCATTATTAGATTTCTAAATATCAATATTATTCTCATAAATACAGTGATAATACTTCTAAGAGCTTTATTTAAGTGTAGAAAGAGACTTTAAAAAGAAAGCTGCAGATCACAGCGTGAAGTACGGAAATCAAATATTAATCAATTATTGACGATCTATTGAATGACTGTAAAGACGCCGCTATAAGTGTTACCAATAATGAATCAATGTATTACATTTATACTCATATCCGCACTTAGAGACAAACACAAAGTATCAGAAGAGTCAAAGACACAAAGCGACGGATTCATAAAGATTCAAACAGACGTAAAAACGCACCATAAACACACCAACAACCAGGCAAACAGACAAAACATCATCACTTTGTGGAAAAACACAAACGTACAAAGTTTTATGGAAAAGGACCAAGAATTAAATAACTTGAATGGGATGAAACCAGAGCTGGATTTAGAGGTATGTGAGGCTGGGTAGTGGATGAAGTCGGAGACATAAAGTCTGAAATCAAAAGGGAAGAAACACGAGGAATAAAACGAGTGGAAGAAACACGAGGAATAAAACGAGTGGAAGAAACACGAGGAATGAAACGAGTGGAAGAAACACGAGGAATGAAACGAGTGGAAGAAACACGAGGAATGAAACGAGTGGAAGAAACACG